CCATTGTGCCAATCCATCTCATTGTAGGTCTTCCTCTATTTTGCTGTCCTTATACTTTACTCTGGTGGCATAGTGGTTATGTTTTGGGATGCAATCTGCAAGATAAACAGTTCTACTCCCATAGAGAGATAGTCTCAGAAACTCGCAGAGGTGTTTCTGCCCTGCCCTACAGGGTTGCTCTGAGTTGGCATCCACTTGATGGCAGTGAGTTTGGAGGGCTTTTTATTGCCATATCAAGCATATCTTTTCCCAGGGAATGAGCTTCTGAATGAGTTAAGGTCTCACCATCATGCCTTCTAAGGAGCAGTCTGGCTGTACTTCAAGAGAGATTTCTTTGTTCTTCTGGCAGTTCGCAGTATTTTAAGTATTCTAGTTCTTTTGTAGTCTGAGATAGTTAACGTTTATTGTGCCAAAATGGCCAATGAACACATGTGGGATCAATTGAAGGACAGAGAGATAAATGGCTCAGTAAGCTCGGGTTTCTTGTCTCTTGCTCTTTGATCATCTGACCAGTGTGTGGTTGCCTTGCTTGTTCTGTGCCTAAATTTGCAAGCTACACTACCTGTGGGACACCTAACCCATGGACTGTGTTGCTGTAATTTGAGGTTCCTTTAAGACCTGCTTTGCCACACCATTAGAATTTACATCTCTTGAGCTGGGGACTATTGGACCCTGTCATCTGGCTGACTGTTGGTGACCTGCCTGGCTGTTTGCTGTCTGCGCCAGGATAGCCTGAATTGCTCTGCAGAGGACTGATTACCTGGCAGCCCTCAAGACTTGAAGGACTGCCAGTGTCTCACAGCTGTCTCACGGGAGTGAGTTGCACTGAGCCATTTGTACTGATTTCTAATTTAATTGACTTTATTTTTTATGTTACATATCTATCGATCTGTATAAATGTATATAAAAGTATTAGCATTCTGGCTTTGTTTCTTTAGAGAACCCTGTCTAAAACATACTCTTTTCTTATTCATTGTCCAACCATTGCAAATACTGTGACTTGCATCAGGTGCCCCTTAATCCTTAAAGGGACATCCTTGTTCATCAAAACCTTAAAGAAGTCTTGCACAGCAGATTTGCTCAGTTCAATAAAGATTTCATTTGATTTCTGGACTGCTGTTTCCATAAGCATTGATTGTGGATCCAAGCACAATGAAATCCTTGACAAGTTCAATCATTGCTCCACTTATCAATATTTTGTATATTGGTCCTGTTGTGAGGAATTTAGTCTTCTTTACATTGAGTTGTAATCCATACTGAAGACTGCAGTCCTCCTTCTTCAGCAAGTGCTTCAAATGTTCCTTGTTTTTAGCAAGCAAGTTTGTATCATCTGCATATTGCAGCTGGTTAATAAGCCTTCCTCCAATTCTTATGCTGCATTTTCTTTGTGTAGTCCACAGATTGAATAAATATGATGAAAGCGGTACAACCATGACATATATCTTTCCTGGGTGTAAATTGTATGCATTATTCCCTTGTTCTGCTCAAAAGACTGCCTCTTGCTTTATGTACAGGTTCCTAATAGTACAATGAAATATTTTGTAGTTCCCTTTCTTCTCAGTGCTATTCATATAGTATCTTACTACCCACACAGTCAAGTCAAATGCCTTTGCATAGTCAACAAAACACAAGTAAACAGCTTTCTGGTGTTCTCTATTTTCTGCCAAGATCCATCTGATGTCAACAGTGATGTTCCTCATGCCACCTCCTCTTCTAAGTCCAGCTTTAATTGCTGGAAACTACCTTTAATGTCTGCTATAACCATTGTTGAATTATCTTCAGCAAAATTTTATTGACATGTGGTGTTAAGGATAACTTTTTAGAATTTCTGCACTCTATTGGCTCCCCTTTCTGTAGAATTGGCACAAGTATAGATTTCTTCTAGTCATTTGGCCAGTTAGTGGTTTCCAAATTTCTTCACATAGGTGAGTGAGTGCTTCTAGTGGCTCATCAGCTTATTGAAACTTTTCAGCCAGTATTCCATCAATTCCTCTAGCCTTGTTTTCGGCTTATACCTTTAATGCAGCTTGCACTTCTTCCTTGTGAAATGGTTGCAGAGCAACCAGTTCTTTTTGGCCCAGTGAATCTGTGTATTGCTTCCACTGTCTTTTGATATTTCCTGCATTATTCAACATTTTGCCCATAGAGTACTTCAATATTTCAACTCAAGGATTAAAT